GTTATTTGTGATTGAATTAAGGAATGATGTATATAGATAGAAAGTCCCCCTATTGGGTTTGTATTTGTTGGGATAGCGTCTAAGTGGTATGAACAGAAATTTTTAATTTCAATTTGTTTGCTTTTAATTAATTTGGTTTCTTGCAAACATATAATGTGAGGGTTGTATTTTTCCATAAGAAGAAATCTGAATTATTTCAATTCAGATAAATTACTTTTTGTACCTCTTATGTTCCATTCCTATGATTTCGATAATTGTCATTGTTTTTGTTTAATTTGAGATTTATTCTTAGTATATTGTTTGGGGGGTGCATCCTATTAAATTCTAATTCTTCAACACTTTCTAATTCAGTGTCATCCGATGGAAAGTCATATTCACTGGGTTCATATGTTTTTTTTTTGTTCAACTTTTTTGATGTTTTTTGGTTTCATCGGCAAATGTATTTCATCCAATACATCATATGTTGTATTATTTATCTGTGCAGTTTTATTTTGTTGTTTTTTTATTATTAATAGAATATTTAATAAATTGCATTGAATGCTTATATCTATTGTTTTTTTTGTTGTTCTTTGTGAAACTATATTAGCATATGTTGATTTGATATTTGATGTTGTTAAGGATTTTGCTTGTTTATATGTTATTTCTTTTATGATTTTTGTTTCAATGGTTTTTTTTCTAATTTGTAAATTGGACAGGATTTATCAAATGTTGGATGGGCTTGAATACAATGAAAACATTTGGGTGTATTTTGACATGGATTTTCCCATAAGTGCTTATGACCAGTTTCACCACAGTTAGCACATATAACAGATTTGTTTTTACAGAATTTGTGAATATGTCCAAACTTTTGGCATCGAGTACATCTTATAGGTGGGGGAATGTATTTTTCAACCTTTATATTAGTATAGCATATTTTAATCTCTGATGGGAGTTCGGTTAACTGAAATGTAAGTATGTAAGTATTAGTTTTAATTTGTTCTTTATTTTTAAATATTTTTATATTTTTAACATCAATTACTTTTTCTAAAACCAACTCATCCCTTATTTCATCTTCTGAACTATTTTTCAGAATGTTTGTTCTAATCACACCTTTTATTACATTTGTTTTATTATCAATGTGAGTCTTTATTTTACAATCAAACATTTTGTTAATTTTTTCTATTTTATTCTTTTGATTTTCATTATTAATTTTAAGAAGGATTTTATTTGGGAAAATTTTAATTATTTCTATCTCACCTACATTGTTTGTGAAAAATTTGTGTAATTGAAAAATAGAAATTTTTGAAAAAAAATTTTCTTTTTCAGCCTCTACTACATATTTTAGAGGATAGGTATGGTCAGACTGTTCGTCTGACATTCTTTGTCTTTTCCTGTTTTCGTTTTCCGTCATTGCTTAGGAATGTAAAAAATTCAAAAAAAAAAACAAAACAAAAAAAAAAACAAAACAAAAAGAAGAAATCAAACCTCGGAATGCTTCTTACAAAATATTTTCAACTGAAACAGCTTGAGCTGCCGGATCAGGTGGTGGAATACCCCTGGAAGTCAGCTTCTGCCAGCGATAGTATTTGGCAGAAAAAAAGGATAAATTCAATTCAACCAACTTCTTAGAAAATAAAAATAAAGATTAACAAAATTCGAATTCACGAAAAAATTGTGGAAAAAAATTACAAAAATTTGCGAAAACGATGTTTACACCGCCATTCTAAACCCAAGTTCGTTGGAGAATATCTTGGAGAAATTTGTGATCGAAGAAACAAGCAACGAGAGTCAACAAGCAATTTTTCTGTCACAACAACAAACAACTAAGGATACCTCCCTAACACACACACACACACACACACGACAATCTCGTGGGAGAGTATTGTCGAATCGCAAATCATAACGACTAAAACTAACGTTCCTCAAAATAAATAAAAACACATCAATCTTACGAAGTAATTCCTGGTTTGGAGTTTTCGTACATAGAGCAACCGCAACAATAGTCTGCCTGTGGGCTGTAGAAAGGTGTTTCGGTGGTGCAGATTTGAAGAAAAGATTTGAGATGTGTTTTTGGCATTTTTTAAAAGAACCATGTCTGAGTGGTAATCACTATTGATGATTATATCAATTGTGTCATGGATGGGACCATTGGTAAAGAAGGATTCGACATTAAGAGAAGCAATTTGATGGTTCGTTAGTGTTTAATAGATTGATAAATTCCCGTGATGACTGGAGATTATAGTTATTAGAAATAAATTTTGTGATGAACTTGGATAATATTTCTATTTTCAATAAATTGGACAATTTCCAGAAAATTCTATTTGAGAAAATTGAAAAGAAAAACTAAATTGATTAATGCCAACAATACCGTATATATATATATAATATATATATATATATATGTTGGTAATAGACCATAATTTTTACAATATTCTATAAATTCTACCGAATGTTTGGCGTTAATATGTTTGTAGTTTGTTTTTTNA